GGAGGAGGAGGAGGAGGAGGAGGAGAGGAGGAGGAGGAGGAGGAACAGAAAAGTGCTGACATGTCTAAAAAAACCTAACAAACTAACAAAAAACCCAAAAAATACCTGACATATCTAAAAGGAAACAAAAATTCAATGTTCTGGCGAAGAATATCGGGCGGCCCTCCACGGGCCAGCATAAGTTCTGAAATCATTTGAATTTTTTGTTTTTTTAGACCTGTCAGGTCTTTGTTTTTGATTGTTTTGGTTTGTTTTAGAACTGTTGGTACTTTCGATCCACGTGATTGAATATGACTCAAACGGATTGAATCCTTTCCCGACACAAGAACACAGCGGAGGGAGGAGAGGAGAGGAGAGGAGAGGAGGCAGGAGGGAGGAGAGAGGATAGGAGAGAACTGAGGAAGGAGAGAGGAGAGAGAAAGGAAGGAGACACACCTCACGCAAGAAGACACACCACACTTTTTTTTACCATCCATAGGGAGCCCAACGGCGAGAACGGGTGACAACAGAGCGCGGAGACGCCGGAAGAGGAGGACGAGGAGGAGGAGGAGGAGGACCGAGGAGGCACAGCAGCGCGCCCCGGCGAGCGCGTGGACTGGCAGCCGCCTAGGGCGACGGCCCCGCGCAACTCATTACATCTAATTAGTCTGGCGCGCCCGGGCGCTCCAGCAGGCGCCGTCGCACAGCCGCCCGCCACGCCGCCTCGCGGCCCCCGGCCCGCGGGGCATCCAGGAGCAGCAGGCCAGCCGCCCGCGGGGGCAGGAGCGGCGCCCATCCGCTGCGCGGACGGCACGCGAGGCGCTCCCAGCGCGGGGCCCAGCACCCGCACGCCATGCAGGCCACCCAAGCGGGCCCTTGGGAGGCGACGTGCCCCCGCCAGGCGCTGCCGGCGAAAAGCACCCTCGCCGCGGCGGCCGCCCCTGGGCCCGGCGCCGCGCGCGCTGGCCCCGGCCCCGCCTGCGGGGCCGCCGCGGCCACCACCGCAGCGTCGTCCGCCACGCGGGGCACGCGGCGGCGACGATGCCCCGCCTGCGTCCAGCGCCGCCGCACACGCGGGCCTCCAGGGCGGTGCCCGTGGTTAGCCTTGAGCGCCGCGAGCTCCACCGCGGCAAGCACACGCTGTACGGCAGTGAGCGCGACCAGCTGCCGCTCGCGCTCCTGACGCAGCGCCGGCGGAGGCAGCCGGGCCTCGGCAGCCACCCCCGCGAGGCGGTCCGCCGCGGCGTTGCCGGAGCGGTCGTCAGGCGACACGCCCCGTTCCTGCGCCTCCGCGGCGTCAAGGTGCCCCTTGACCCATCTCGCGGCCAGCGCGCCGCTGCGGCAGTGAGGAACGATCAACTCCCACAGGTCAGCGTGGGCCCAGTCCTCGGGGGACGCCCCTGCCCTGATCGCCGCAACGCCGTTGCTGACGAATCGGGAGTCGGTCACTACCTCGACGGCCCCGCCTGCCAGGCTGACGGCATGCACCGCTGCTGTGAGCTCGGCGCGCTGCGCGGTCTGCGCGCCGTCGACCGGCCCATGGTGCTCCTGGCGGCCCGCGCCCTGGTCCAGCACCACTCCCCACCCTGCCCTGGCGAGGAGGGGTCAGTGGGGCGCGCGCAGCCGCCGTCCGTCCAAGCGCGCGCCCGGGCTGGCTCGGCGGCAGGGGCCGGCAGGGCTGGGCGCGGCAGCGGACATTGCGCCTGGTCCGCCAGTGCAGCCAGCTGCGGGTGCTGGGGCAACACCCCGGTGAGCGACGACTGGGCCGGCAGCCGCGCGCGGGCCGCGGCGCGCGTGAGGCCCTCAGGGACCAGCGCGGCGGCGCGCGCGGGTTCCCAGCAGGGACACGCCCAGAAGCGGTGCTCGAAGTCGTCGCGAGCCGCGCCGCAATGCGGGCATGCTGCAGGGCGCCCCCATTTCGCCGCCACCGCCTCCGTGACGACGTTGCCGGCGAGCACGGCGCGAAGGGCCCCGGCGGCGTCGGCCGCCAGTTCCCCGCTTTCGAGGAGCCGCCGGGTGGCCCACCTGTCGACTCCAGCGTCCAAGTGCTGAAAGCCGGCGCGCCGGCTGGCCACCTCGCGGGCCTCGCGGGCCGCCCAAGCCCGGAGGAGCACCGCGCGCGTGTCGGGCAGGGCGCGGTCAGCCGGGCGCCAGCCGCCAGGCGAGGTGGCCACTCCAGTCCAGCACTCGACATCGGCCCTAAGCTGCAGCTCCGCCAAGCTCCGGGTCGCCGCGTCCACTGGGCCAAAGCCGCGGCCGTGCCCCGCAGCCATGGCGCCGGCGGCCCGCCTCCAGAGCTCGGCGGGGAACCGGCGTTTCCGGATGGCTTTGGCGACCTGCCACAGCGGCGCGATGACCGTCACCGCCACCGGGTCAAGCCGCCAAGTCGGCGCCAGGACGCCGAACACGATCTCTGCGGCCGCCCGGAAACCGCCCCGGCAGACGGCGTGCCGCGCGGCGGCGCGAAGCCCGGCCAACTCGCGCGCTGGGGGGCGCCCGCAGGCCGCGCCATAGAGGCCCGCGGCAGTGCCCGCGGCGGCCCCCAACAAGCAGCGCTGGCGAAAACTGACGGGCAGCCGGCCGAGTCTGGCAAATCGGCCCTGCGCGACGACCAGCCGGCCAGCGGAGACGGCGCAGCGGCGCGCCCTGCCGGCAGTCGCGATGACCCCGAGGTCCATGAAATCCGCACACGCCTGGATGCCCGGGGACTGCTCCTTCGGCCATCTTCGCAACGCCTGGCGGCTTGCGAATTGGCGACTTTTCGTCCGGTTGAGCCGCCGCCCCATTGCCGTCTCGAAGGCGTCTGTCACGCGCAGCGCCTGCTCGAGCTCCTCCGCCGCCTCGTCAACGCGGTCGTCGGCCACGCGGGCCCAGAGGGTGAAGTCGTCGACATACACCCGTTGGCGAAGCAGCTCGCCCGACCTCGCGGCACGTCGGGCCCAGGGCCGGGCCAGGACACCCAGCGCGAATACGGCGAGCGGACAACCTGGCAGCAGGCCGCGCGAAGGCGCCCAGGGCTCCCCGATGGCGCTGTCGACGCGCACCCGGCGGCAGGCTCCGCAAGCGCGCAGGGCTGGGCGAGCGAGCCACGGCGGGACACCCGCCCGCGCCAGCAGAACCGGGAGCGTGCCCAAGTCCACTTGGATGGCCGACAGAGTTGTTGTAGCTTGTACGATTTATAACCTGCGATATCCCTTGTTATAAGCAACACGATCCCTAGTTATATGTCTGGACATGTTTGCATTATCAATATAATACCTTATAGGTGTTGACATGTCCATAACATCTGCGGATAGAACATACCTAGGGATATGTATCCGACATAACATGCAACATATACAAAAAAAAGGTGTTTCAAATAAGTCAACTAAGTTAACTAACCTAAGAAGGGCCACCTGAACGGGCTGACGCAGAAAAAAAAACTCGCGGCACAGAAAATGAAGGAGGAGAGCCGAGCGGAGAGGCAGGCGGCGGAGGAAGACGTGGAAGGAGGGGGGGACGCGACGCATGTGGCGGCTTATCCGCTAGCGGCCGTTGCTTTTTTTCCCTGGGCCAACTGACAAAAAATGACGTGGAGGAGCGACGGTGATGATGATGACGGTGGTGAGCACGATGATGAGGAGGGGCGGATGAGCGGGTAATCCGCTACAGCGGCTGATCCGCTTTTTTTTTCAAGATGATTTTCTCCGAGCTCAGTGAATCACCACCAGCGCGTTGTCGCTCTTGAGGAACCATCCAGTCGCCTTGCGCGCGCCCTCGGGCACCAGGAGCTCCGACTGTCCCGTTCTAGTCCAGATAGAGTACCCACCGAGCGGCTCGCGACGCACCAGCGCAAGCTTTCCCACGATAAGCGCTAGAACGCCACCAGCGGACAAGCACGCTTGAACCTCGACCGCCGCGTTCTGAATGAAAACCACGCTGCCAACTCTGAGCAGCAAGCCCCGCCACCTCATCTGTTTGGACACGACGCAAACCTGGCCAAACTTGTCGGACAACGGCTGGCTCACCGCCACGGGCTCGCACAATTCGGTCATCCTGACTTTGT